TAAATCATTCTTTGATTTGAATTTGATCAAATCAAATCAAATATAAATTTGAATTTGTATTTGATTTGATTTTCAAACCAAATATTCAAATATCAAATCGAATTGCGAAACCCTAATTGTAAGTAATTTAGCTTTTGAAATTTGATTATCACATTCAACTTTAACTTCATCAAAAGCTTCATCAAGTAATTCATCAGCAAGTTTTCTTCAATTAGGTAATTTAAATGCAAAACGCAATTGTTGAAAAAATTGAATAACATAATCATTTTCAAGAAAAGTAAATGGAACTCCAGCTGCAAATAATGCTTGGGCTAATAATATTTTAAGATTATTTTATTTTTCTTTACTCATATGATCAATATAATTATCAATTTTGTAGCTTTTAATTGTTTAATTTGGGTATTTATAATGGGAATAGGAGTAAAAGTAGTTAGTAATTGAGTAGAATTAGAATTAGAATATTCCAAAGTTAGTTTGAATTTTGTTTTTGTATTATTTGGGACACCAATATAAATATTATCAAGGTGAGTTTGCATTCTATTAGGAATATTACAATCAAAAGTTTTAGAATAATAATTACATTGAATAGAAGGATATATTGTATTATTATTTTCATTAATAATTATCCAATACTTCCAAGCTACTCCTTTTCTTTTTACCATAATGTGAGAAAAAAGTAAAAAAAGATTGATAAAAAGATTCATGTGAAATCAACAAATAAATATAAATATAGACGAGAATTTTTATTTTTAACTATATTAAATATATCTGATTATAGATATAAAATAAAGCTTGAATTTGATTGGTTAATCATAAATAACGGTTCATCCCATCCCCAATAGCAACACAACACTAATTACATATGTTAATAATGGTTGGGATTACATAATTATTTAACTTTAATAATGCATTACAAATTTGGTAAAAGAAGAATTAAATAACCGGAAAATCCTATTTTAGACTGCTGAACAGTAGTACAAAGTTTATCCAATCAAATTCGGTAAACATTTTAATAAATAACGCGTGATGTCATTCCTTTTTTTTTCATGTCGAATTCTTTTCCGTATCAATGTCTCAAAGTAAAGTTTCTATATTTTCAAATACATTTTTAAACTTATAAACTAAACATTCATTATTTATTAGGTTTAGATCTTGCTAATCTTCCTGAAAAGTATAAAGAGCGTATGCTCGAAAGGAGACGGACTCATGGGTTTGTTTTTTTTTTTGTTTTTATCTTTATCCCGGAAAATTTGACAAGTTTTTCACTTTATGTTATAGAACTCGTAGGACAACGTTTAGAAATTTTAAAATAACTTTACCCCCTAAAGTGGGTGAAATTAGCAACGATATAGACAGCAACGACGATGACGATGACGAGCAAATAGGCAAGATTTTAATTTCATTAAGACTGCATTTATTTTGTTAAATTTTCATTAAGATTTGTATTATTTCATGAATAGAAGATTCAACACCGACAACTAATCTTTCAAATAATTGGGATCTTACAAAAGCATCTATTAATTCACCTATTAGTCCTTCAGGTTCAACAATGGATGTTGATACTCTTAATGTTGGTAAAATTGTTGAAATCGTGTCTTCAAAGAAATATTTTGATGATAATGACGAGCAAATAGGTAGGATTTATTGAATTAAATTGATTTAATCATAATTGCAATTTATATAGAATTTTTTCATTATGTTTCATGTTTAGATATATCGCAAGTTCCAAATAATCATTTACCTACTAGTCCTTCACTTACTAGTACTTCAGGCTCAATGGATATTGATACTCTTAATGTTGGTAAAATTGTTGAACTTGTATCTTCAAAGGTATATATAAATGACGACGACAATGATAATGACAATGAACAATTAGGTAAGATTTTTAATTTATTTAATTCTGTGTTGAACTTTTCCGTTAAGTTTTTGTATCATTTTATGAATAGATTTAGCACCAACAACTAATATTGGTGAGATTTTGTCTTCTGAGAATGAAGATGAAGAGCGAATAGGTAAGAATTAATATTTACTCGTAATTTGCACTTCGATTCTTCATTAAGATTTGTTGTCATTTTATAGATGCAAAGTCAAGAAATTATATTGATAAACCCGTCGAAATTGTGTCTTCAGAGGACGATGAAAATGACGACGGTGAGCAATACTTTAGTAATAATTTATTTGATAATGATTGTTCTTCATCTATGCGATATCATCAACTAATGTTGGCAGAACTTTTGAAATCATTTCTTTAGAGAATAACTACGATGACGATGATGAACAAATAGGTGAGATTGATTGAATTAAATTGAATATGCGTTTACGTGTTGAATTTTATTGAGAATTGTTGTTTTCATGGAAAGATGTAACACCTGTCGAAATTTTGTCCTCGAAGAGAAAATATGATGACAATAACGATGAGCAAATAGGTAAGAGTTTATTGATTCGATCGAATTTATATGTTGAGCTTTTCATTAAGCTTTTTATCATTTTTATGAATAGATACAACATCTTCGACGTTAGAGAATGTAGAGAATGAAGATGATGACGATGAGCAAATTGGTAAGGTTTTATTGAGTTATTAAATTAAACAGATTTGCATTTATGTGATTTTATTAAGCTTTGTATCGTTTGATTAATAGATACAACATCAAAAACAAATAACCGTGATCTTGCGCAAAGTGAAATTGGTGACGCTATCAATCATATCATCACAGAATTTCTGTTAGTATAATTTTTTTATTGTTGATGAAGTTTTATTATAATCATATTAAGCGTATACTTGTGTAAATTTTTAGGGTCGAGCTGGGAAATAAATCATTTAAGAAAGAAATTCAACACTTTAATAAAGAGATCGAATTACATTTGCTTGAGCAGGTTTGATAATATTAATATATCGTTACAATTTATATCGTATCTTTTACATATTTAATATTTATTTTATTTCCTATTTTTAGTCTGATCTTGTTGATGAACAAATAAATTTGCAATCATCTTTAAGGAAATCCAAATTGCGAATGAATCATATAAGAAAAGAATTATTAGATGTTCAGCGTGAACGTGATAGAGTTTGTAAAGAATTGGCTAATGAAAGAAGAACATTCGCAAAGGAAGAACAAGACAGGAAGGTTTGTCAAATAATAATAAAATTGGATGGAATTTATATTATTTTAATGCTTTATTTTATTAAAATAATTAGAAACTCGAACAAGCGCATAACTTCCTAACGGATCTTGAAACATTACGTGAGGCTGCAGATGCTGAAGATAATATGCAAGATGAAGAAGAAATATTGGTAAGCAAACTCTCCTTGATTACTTTTATTTCTTTTTATATAAATTATTAAATAAATATTACTTATATAGGATGGCTTTAAGGGTCTGTTGGTATCTGTTGCATCTCGTTGTAGTGATATTTCACTTTCTTCATCATCCAATGCTTCAGTTCAGAAAGGTTTCACAAAAGGAAAAGTTTCATTAGAAGAGGCTTCGGGAAGTTTGGGCATATTATGTCGGTTCAATATGTTGCTTGAAGTGTGTGAAAAAATTATCAGGCAATAAGATAATATTTAATGGAGTACTTCCTAATTTGTATTACTATAATTCACCGTGAACAATTCTGTCACGGGTGTCAAGCGACACAAATTAAATGTAAATATCAATGGTTTCTTTAAATAAATCTTTTTATCTTCCTTGTTTAATAAACTTAGGCAAATTATTAAACTTAATTATATAACCTTTTTCATATTTTCCAATTTATATAATGGTAACATTTCATTTCTTTATTTTCTAATTTTGACAAAAAAATAATTTAAATAAACGCATAAGAAAGCTAAAGTAGAATAGATTTTAAAAATAAATAATAAATAAATATAAAGTTTTTTTTAAAAAAAAACACAACAAAATATCAAGTTAAAATTTGAATAATAAAAAATATTTTTTTAAGTATATTTATAATATTTATATTACTTATAAACTAGATTTTTAGAATTTAATATATTATTTAATATAAAAAAAAAACTAAATATAAAATTTAAATATTACAACCTTTTTTGAAATAAAAGTTATTTTTAATGTTAATTTATTAATAATTAACTTATATCATGTTATATACATAATAATTATTTATATTATTTTTTATTATTTAATTTATAATTTTTAAAAAATATAAAAATATAAAAATATTTGTAATTAAATATTAAAGATCTATCATATTTTATTATTAAAATATTAATAATTAAGGTTGCTTATCTAAACTCATTTTGGATTTGGCTAAACGTCTAAACCTTTAATTTCGCTAAATTTTTACTAAGTATTGGATATAGTTTCGGCATTTTTATAAGCTTTGATATAGTTTTACCTTTTTCTGAATTTTGCAGATTTTTTAATAATATTTTAATATAATTTAACCAAGTTTTACTTTTACTATTTAGACATCTGTCTAAACTCTGGATTTTGTCTAGCAACTTTATTAATAATGTTAATATTATTATAATTATTTTAAATAATAAAAAAAAATGATAAAATTGTTAATTAATATAATTAAAATTATTTTAAACTAATATAATATTTTTTTTTATTCTAATAATATAAATTATCACCACTTTTAATAAGATAGTAATTTTTTTCAAAATGTGATTATAAAAGATTTTATTATATTATAATAATATAGAGATATTTTTTTTATCAATTTTATTATAACTGATTTTAATATAATTATAATTATAAAAAGGTTTTTTATTTGATATAATTATAGATATGATGATTATAAATAGGTCTGCCTATATATTATTTATTATTTTAAAAGAATAATAAAATCATTTGATTTGAATAATATATTATTATTTAAAAAATAATAAAATTATTAGATATATATTATATTAATTAAATATTTTAATTATTTCTTAAGATAATATTTATTATTTTTTTAAAATAAAATTTATTTAAAATAATTTTAAATTATTCTTAATAATAAAGTAATTTTAATTAATTTAAAGATAATTCAAATTATAATATCAATTAAAAACTTTTACATTAATCTATAATCAATATACAATCAGTAATATAATCTTATAAATAATAAATAAAATATAATTTATTAAAAATAAATATTAAAAATTAAAATTTATATATCTTTATTAACAATTAGTAATGTCCACTTTTTAGAAATTTCTGTATAAATAAAATAATGTATATAAATTAGATTTTTATATTTTGTTATTTTTGAATCTTTTTTATTTGAATTGATGACCATTTCTATTCTTTAATTTTAAATAAAATTCTAGCATATATAAATCCTATATTTTCTTCTTGATCTGATCATATTTATTTATGAAAATTATTAATTCTTATTATTGTTCCAATTTTTTCTCTTTCTATAAAAAATAAAAATATATTATTATAAAGTAATTAAAAATTACTGTTCAATAAAATTTCAAATACCTTAATTATAACTTAATAATAAATTAGAAACTTTTATTTTTACAATATCATAAATAGCTATTTCTATATCATTATCAAATTAAATTATATCTTCTAATTTAACATATTATTTTATTGCTTATAAGATCTAATAAAATATAATAAAAAAACAAATTTTAAAAAAATAATAAAAAATGAATTTTTAAAAATTTTTGATGTATTTTATAGAATATAAAAGAATATGAAAGGTCTTTAATTCTTACATGTGTATGATAAGAATTTATTAAAAGTTTTAGCTTTACTAGCTTCTAAAAATATTTATTTATGAAGAATAATATTATACCACTCTTTCTAATAACTTATTATTAACATCAATTCTATATAATGATAATGAAATCTATTATCTGATATTATTTGTTATTTATTTTGGTTTAAGATTAAGAGTTTCAAAAACAATATGAAAAAAAATGCTATAAACTAAGCATCTTAATTAGTATTATTCCAATAATCAAAAACTTGTATATTGAGTTTATTGTTTATAATATCTTTAGTATATATTAATAAAGAATATAAAGTTTGATCTAGTTTGCCAAAAAATTTAGATTTGTTTTTCATATATTTTGTGATAATATTTTCATTTTGTAATATACTATAATTATTGTTTCATCTTTATTTAAATAACTTAAATATGTGTATTTAGATATTTTTTTTATACATAATGTTCTATCCATAAAATATTTCTTTAAATAATCATTTAATGATTCATAAAATTCTTCACTAATCTTATTCTTGATTAAATCAAAATATTAAAATAAGTTTTTACAATTGTTACATATTTCAGAATGTTGAAAATTGCAAATTCCTAAAGTGTGACTTAAATAATAATATATAGGAGCTTTGCTATTAAAAATGGATTCTGAAAACCTTTTCATTAAAAAGGGAGAATTTTGATTCATATTATAGTATACTAAATGAACTTTATTTGGTTAAATTTTTAGAGTCTATTAGCTTATTAATAAAATAAGCAATTAAGGCTGACAAAAATGCTTAAAATTTATATAATATTATTCAAAAAATTTAAAATTAGATTTTTATGTAAATTTTAGAAATAATTGATATATTTTAAAAAAATAATTATTATATAGTATCATCTTATTAATTGATTCAATCCAATATATCTATTTTTAATATTTTTAGTGCAATTTTTTATTGGACAAATATGTTTATTATAGTGTAACTATTTTTTGATCATCATTTAACTCAAATCAATTTATAGTTTCTGAACCCACTTTTAATAGTAAAACTCATTCCTATATATAAGATTTGTATACTAAAATTCCAGATAAAATTTTTAATTTTTTTATATATTCTCACTTTATATATCTTTTCAAAATATGTAATTTTGAATTAATTTTTTCTATTAATAAAAAATTATTAGATATAATTTTGACATTAATTTATATTAAAATTTTAAATACATACCTTTAAAAATTCATCTTCAATATTAATAGTGATAATAGGATCCCAGATAATTATAATAAAGTTCACATTCAAAATACTAATTAAAAATCAAAAGAAATATACTAAATTTAGCTATTATGATATATATTTTTATCATATGGGAGCTTGTCAATAGAAAAGGAGGAAATCTAAAAAATATAAAAATTTTACTTCATATGCTAAATATAATTTTTTTAGTAAAATAAGTTCAGATTTAACTTTAACTCATAAAAACTTTTTTTTTAGATTTCCCCCTTTCTATTGACAAGCTCCCATATGACATTTGTATATATTACAAATATACATTTTTATCATATGATTTTAATATATTAGAAAATAAGTTAAAATCATATTAAATTTATTCAGCATTATATTTAATTGACTTTGTAATAATAATTAATTGTAATTTATCTATAACTGAATTAAAAAAATTATAGATTGCCATTTCTTTTTTTCCTACAATTAAAAATCCCATATTTTTGGTGAAATTTTCACAATGTCCTAAATAATAAATGATCAAATGACTAGGAATATGTAAAAACAAAACATATTTTGGTTTATCTACTGGAAAACATCCAAAAATATTTAGAATCTGTTCTATATAAACACACACTGAAATATAAGAAAGTGAATCAATACAACTAGTATTATCAATATAAGAATGATAATTTGATAATTTATAATATATAGCCAAAAATTGAATGAGGCAAATTTTTGATCCCAAAAGTGCAAATACATAATCACCACATTTGGCAGGATTTTCCAAAATAACATTTGCAATACTAATACTTGGTAAAGCTAAATAAATTATAAATTATAAATTAATAAACTAAATTTATAAATTTACAAATAATAATCAAAAATTTTACCTGAAGCATTTTGATATCTTTTTAATACTTCTAAACGTTTTCTATTTTGCCATCTTTTAGTTCTTAAAATTTCAGATTTTACTCAATCATTTTGAGCCAAAGCAATTATATTATTAATCTTATTATGATTAAGATTTAAAGTTGAATCATGTGCTATGTAAATCCTTTTCATTCTTTGACTTGAATAAGCTTCATGTTTATGACGTTGTGAAATTAAATATGAGATATCCAATTTTCCTAATAATAAAACATCTGTTTGAAATATTTCACTACTCTCTTGAATAAATTTTTTATCTGATTGATTATAGATAAAATCTATTCCTATTTCTATTTGACTCTGCTCTAAATCATCAATTTTTTCATATTATATATGTTAATCAACTCTGCAGCCTTGCTAATTTCATTTAATTCACAATCAACTTTATTAATTTTTTCTAACTCATCATCATCTTGATTTAAATCAACATCTAATAAATCACTTTCATAAGCTAACATATGTGTAATAAAAATTCCATAATAAAAAAGATTTTTATACTCGATAAATTCAAGAATTTTAGCAAATGTACTTGCTTGTTTATGTGCTTCATGAATAACCAAATGCATTTCATCATCTGTAGGATATGTTGTTAAGTTATAAATATTATCAGCAATAGTATCTTCATAATAATTCATTATATAACCTAATATAAACAAATAAATTAATAATAAAACATAATTAAAAA